CTCAGAGAGCGAAGTGGGCCCCATGGTGGGTCTAAACTGTTGATGTTTGAAATCACACAATCGATTGAGAAGCTGTCTGATGGATGAAGAAGAATTGAGAGAAAATGAAAGATGAGCGCTGACTCCTCCTCCGGGACTTTTATGCCCGATCCTTAGACTGAAATTTCCTGATCCCTCCTCCCATGTATTGAAGAAGAACAAACCTGGCATGGCAAGGTAGTTCCCCCCGTCGGTACCTCCCATCGGGTCAACAGTCAGCTGACGGAGCTTGAGTAGGTGTTTGATGGACGTGTCCGGGAACCTTGAGGTCATTGTCAGGGTTACTCTTTGTGAGTTATTTAATAGAAAGAAAGGTGTGGTTAAGAGGAAGGAATGATTCCCCCCGAATCAATCAATGTCCAGCCCTCTTCGTCGAGTTAAGATTTTAAAAAGAAGAGAAGAGCCTTGAGTCTGAAGAGTTGTTAGAAAAAACCAAACCTCCTTGATCCTTACCCTCTTCCTCATTTTTATTAGTCCTTCGCTCATGAGATTCTGAAACCTTGGCTTTTGACTACGCCACAAGCTTTGCGGTGGTCGGCGCATGAAGTAGACGGATGATGAATCATCCTTAGTTTTACAGAGGTCGGCTGACAATTAAGAAGGGAAGTCATTCGAGCACAGGAGAGGATATCTCCATCATATCCCGCGATTTTGACCAGATGAGGCACGACAGGAAAATAGTGACTGTTTAGTTGATTCTTTGCTTTACATATGTTGGCTGGCCAATTGGAGGGAAGCTCATCCTCGAGCATAGGAGGGATATCTTACTGATATCTGGGAAGCTGATTTGTGCAGCAGATAGTAAGCTGCTTTATGCCTTGAGATTGTCAGAGTTGCAGATCTTGATGGAGTCGATCAATACATGTTAGTGTCCGATGATGCATAATCTGAAGCGGAGCTGAGTTTGGATTTTATGTTCCCTCAGTAAAGACGGCCCGTTTGGTTTTCGAGTCGTCCCTATGATTTGATCGACCCGATAGCGATGTGAGTTTTCTGGTACGATGTAGGATGCCATCAAACCAACCATTTGAGGAGTCGTCTCGATTATAAGGCGGTGCGGACTCTAAGGAAGTCGCCTTGATTATAAGGGGCCGACCTGTCCACGGCTTCGTGCGCGTAAAGCATGACTCGTTAATTTGCTCTTTGTTTCGGCTTGAGTTGCTAGCTGGCTGCGCGCCATAGACTTTATAGCCTTTATGAAGATAGTTTCTTGAGATCTTTTTTTTAGATAGTAGATTGACATAACAAGTCGTATTTTACGAATAATGAGTGAAAATCTATGAAATAAAAATCGGACAATATATCCATTATTTGAATAACAAGTTGTCTTACCTTAAATGTTACTTATATTTACTTGAATCGGAGAAAAGAAGCGTCCCGATCATTGCAAAATATATGCACGAGTATGTTGCTGGATCATGACCTGGGATGCATCCCTCTTGACCAAGGGGTTTTGCCAAATTTTATTTTTAGTCACTTCAATCTAATATATCCCCCGGGCTAAGTACTCCGGAGATAGTCCTAACAACTTATCACAAATTCCGCCGCCATACATTCTATTAGTTCTCCGTAAACATAAGCGGCATCAATGCCGAGACCAAGCGATCACTACTACGTCCTTGCGAGAGTATAGTCGGCCTCGCTAACACGTCAGATGAAAAGTTGTTAGTCTCTGGCCTCCATCTATCTATCAATGCCATTAAGTATTGCCCAATCGACAGCTTTCATCCACCGCTAACTTTACGCTTGTGAAAAACCTGCTTGCGGCTACTAAAGCAATATACGCGATCTTCAAGTGGCCCATCGTCATATGTTCCGAGGCTATGCATCAATCATTTACTACGCTTTGGTTCCTCTCTGCCACATAAATGTGCGAAAAAAATATTAGCATTTACTCAATGATAAGTAATATTGAGACCTATAAGTTTCAACAACACATTTCACTGCACAAAAAATATTAAGACATCATTACCGATGTAAATGATTACTCTCTGAATCGCGTATCCGGTGACTGATCCTATAAGGACTTCATCACTTACCTGTCTGGGAATTCGATAATGTAATACCTACCACACTATTCAATGTTCCGAACTTATAGTTGCATACTAATAATGTTAAAGTATGCTTTCACTGTTCCCTTTACGATTTTGACGCGGCTAGCATTCATACATCTACATCTTGATTTTACCCCACATTGATTGCTGCCATCCCACCCTAAATCCTAACACGGCAATCAAGATTGATGCACCTCTTAGCCTCCTAATAAAGTTCCCACCTAAACACCAACTCTTGCATTATACTCATCCCATATCCATGCTCTAGAATTTCTTGCCCACTCTCTAGAGCTCCACATACTACAATAAAAGCTGTACATGCCCATACTTATTTTACGGCACCATTAAGCAATTAACAACCCCAACAACCAAAATAAAAGAATATCGTAATCACGTACATATTCGTGTCATCAAATACAAATAAAATAAGAGGAGATTATCACAAATATGTGCATCTGCGCGACACAAAGTATAACACAACATGGACAACATGCAACAAAAATAAAAAAAATATCACGTGTTACAAGGTTTTATCTGTATGTAGGGGCAACTTCATCAAACTTAATCAACACTTTACATCATATACCCTACACTATGATTTTCTATCACATTATCAAGTGGAGCCCAAGATTGATCCCACCCACCTCTACTATTAATAAAATTCTCAACCTAACAAACGGTTGCAAAACTCTTATATTATACTTATATCATCCCGGGCCCCGCACCTCCCACGCCTACTCACACAGAGATCAACGCTCTCCATCAACCGATACCGACGAAAACCGCTGCTGCACGTAGTAGTATTTTCCCATGGCTAGCCTTCGGTCACATGCCCTCCCATACTGGAAACTCTCCCAAATCTCTTAGCGAAAAAAGGCCACAGAATCTCCTTCATCACACCCCAAGATACCTCCAAGACTCCCAGCACCCCCCTCACAAATCTCAGACCTCATCCACTTCGTCCCTCTCCCCCTCCTTCAACGCTCGAGGCCTCCCCGCCGACGCGAGGCCACATCCGATCTCCGCTGGCACCGCGTCGAGTACCTCAAAGCTCGCCTTCGACCGCCTCGACGAACCTTCGCAGTTTCGTCGACAGCCTCCCGCAAGCCCGACTGGGTCATCCATGACTTCCCACATCACTGGCGTCCCGCCAATCGCGGCTGCAGGCTTCGCGTGCCCGTTTCGTTTTCCTGTCCTTTTCATGACGAGGCTTCCTCGTTCTTTCTTCCGGCCCGCCGTCGTGGCAGTTGGGCCCAGAGGCTTCTACGAAAGACCGGCGCAGAGGATCACGCGCGTCCCCGCGTGGCATCCCTTTCCCGTCTCGAACTCTTGTTACGCCTACACGACAGCAAGAAGGTGTTCGAAGTGTACAGGCCTCATCCCTAACATATCGGATACAACACACACTGAAACCGGGGTTCTCCGACGCCGAGCGGGGTACCAAAATCACCGCTTCGAAGGTTGCAAGCCGATGGCCGTTTCGGAGCTCACGATGAAGTCGAGTCCGAGTGGCTTGAACTTACTTCGGAGCTTTTAACAAGCCTGTGATTCCCGTGGCTCTACTTCCGTGCTCCGGAATGAAAGAGAAGCGAGGGGAGTGAGGGCAGCCGACATCCTGTCGTTGGCTCGACAAGCAGAACCAAGATCCGCTGTGTACATTGCTTTCGGAGCGAGTGACTCGAGTCCCGGATCATGCCTGCCATCAACTAGCTCTCGGATGGAGATGTCGAAAAACTGACCGTTTTGTCTGGGCGCTTAAAGAGCTCCGCCAAAGGCATCGGCTGACGAAGAAGTTCTGCGAGTGGATTCGAAGATAGCGTGCGAATGTCGCGGCATTCATCGCGAATGGGTTGGGTGCCGCAAGTGAGTACTGCCATGAATCGCATCGGAGATTCCTGACGCATTCGGGCTGCGGAGTTCGGTGATTTGAGAAAATCTGCAGTTCGGGCATCGCTTGTCTGCTGCCCCATATTTTCTGACAGGGGGGATTAACGCGAGGCGTTCATTATGCGAGAAAGGGTTGCGGATTGAAGATGAGAGAGCGAGTGAGACGGGTCTTTTACTAAAGAAGGCTGTTGCTAGATGCTCTGAGGTTTGGTCGTGACAGAGGAGGAGGTGGGGGCTCGATTAGGAGCGAGGCTGAGGAGTTGCAGAGAGTGTTATTGATAAAACCGACAGGGAGAAGTATGCTGGATGATTGTGAAGTATTCTGCAGCGAGAATAGAGAAGCGGTGGCCATTGAA